ATCATTGCTTTTCCAATCTAAAAGAAAATGATCGTTATCAGATTATGCTAATTCACTATTGTATCATGGGAAATATATACATCTGTATATTTTGCAAGAGCTGTGGGTTCCCTTTAGAGCCCCTCTGTTAATAGTGCTTCTACCAGGTGTTAATTAGGGCTGCATCACTTCAGTAAATGTATTGTACAGGTCTGGTCAGAACTTTGACCTACATTCTTCCACCCAGGTCATCAATCGTGGGAACAAAGTTCACAGAAAGAGAGAGAATGAGAGAGAGAGAGAGAGAGAGAGAGAATGAGATAGAGAGAGAGAGAGGGGGGAGCAAGAGATGGGAGAAAAAAAGGGCTCAAACGAGACAAAAACAAAAAGGAGAGAGAGTAAGGGAGAAAGTAAGAGAGAGAGAGTAGGAAATAAAAGACAGACAGAATGAGAGACACAGATCGAGAGAGAGGGAGAAAGAGAGAACGAAAATGATAGAGAGAAGAATACCAAAGTAAGAGAGAAATGGGGCTAAAGTGTAAGAAAAAGAGAGGAAGAGATTGTGAAAGAGGTTGAGAAAGAGATTGAGAAAGAGGTTGAGAAAGAGATTGAGAAAGAGATTGAGAAAGAGTTTGAGAAAGAGATTGAGAAAGAGATTGAGAAAGAGATTGAGAAAGAGACTGAGAAAGAGACTGAGAAAGAGGTTGAGAAAGAGGTTGAGAAAGAGACTGAGAAAGAGACTGAGAAAGAGACTGAGAAAGAGACTGAGAAAGAGACTGAGAAAGAGATTGAGAAAGAGACTGAGAAAGAGATTGAGAAGGAGACTGAGAAAGAGACTGAGAAAGAGATCGAGAAAGAGATTGAGAAAGAGACTGAGAAAGAGACTGAGAAAGAGACTGAGAAAGAGATTGAGAAAGCGGTTGAGAAAGAGACTCAGAAAGAGATTGAGAAAGAGATTGAGAAAGAGGTTGAGAAAGAAATGAAGAGCTAGAGAAAGAAATAGAAACAAAGAAACAAGAAAAAAAATAGACGAAAAGAAGAGAGAGATAGAAAGCGAGAGTGAGAGAGATAGAGAGAGAGAGAGAGAGAGAGAGAGAGAGAAAGAGAGAGAGAGAAGTATAGAAATGGGACGCAAAGAGGCCTATATAGCCTAGGAACCGATACGAACGAAAAAAATGAATTAAATAATGAAATAAAAACGTTACGGTTAAGCAATATTAAATTCATTTCCTTCTGTTATTAATAGAGACAGCAAATTAAGTAAATAAGCAAAACCATAAACCTCTACGCCCGTCAAGTCGAACGAGCTGTCCGCAAACTAGTCCAAAGGTTCAGTGCATAAAAACGAGTCTTATCTTTGTCAAACTTTATCACAAACTTAGCACTTCTTTTTTTTTTTTATACTCTCGTAATTATTTTAAAGACTGTAGCCATTTTGAGGGTGAAATCCTTATAAATAAAACGAGTTTCAGGAAAATTTAATTGTATAAAGATGTTTAAGCACACTGTAAGACATGAGCAACCATTTCCCAGCATTCTTTTCCAGTCCGGGAGCCACATTTGAATTCTCTACACGTGTGACATGGACCGCATTATTGAAAAACAAAAACATTTTTAAAAAAATTGAATCCAAAAGAACCTACCCTTAACGGCCTCATTATACACGGTGAGCAAACAGTATGAACTGCAGCACGGGTCGGAGATGGTCTTCGGGCCGTAGTTTGAACGTCACTGTTCTGAGGTGAAGACCCACACACAAAAATAAGTAGACCTAGTGGTACTATCCAAATATTAGTCCTTACAGCCACAGATAGGGATATTTTAAATCATTTTGAAGAGAAAGCAAAGTTTAAACAAAAATAGACTAATGTTGAGTGGTTAAGCACTTAGCTTTCGAACCTGGGATTTTGTGTTCGAATCTCGGTGAACACTGAGATTTTGGGATTATCAGTGCGCCCCTGAGTCCACCTAACTTTAATGGGCACCCGACTTTAGTAAAGGCGGTTGGTCGTTGTGCTGGCCACATGACACCCTGCTCGTTAACCATTGGCCAAGAAACTGATGACTTTAACATCATCTGACCTATAGATCGCCAAGGTCTGAAATGGGAACTTGACTCTTTTTAAAATGCTGATTATTAGAGGGCACTTATCTCTAGTGCCTTAACTCTTTCTCTCCTAACTGACGATACCAACGTTGATTCCACTACAATGTGATAAATAATTACGGAGAGAAAGAGTTAACAAGTCCAAATTCGGTCCTGCACAGGTTTGTAAGGGGAAAGAATATAGCATTACGGCATGGGTCTCAATTATTGAGTGGACTTTATACTTCAAAAAAGAGATATTCGTCTCATGCTTTCCTTTGATTGAATAATCAAAAGAATACAAGAGTAGCGCACAGCACGATATGCCCGGCTGACAGCAATGACAGTGTTTGTCTGTTAGCAATCTTCAAGATGGCCTTGGCTTCGGTGTGACATTTCGCGAGAATCGATTTCCACATTTGTGTCATGACAATAAGCTGTTTTTCCCCCGTTGTGTGTTGCAGTTCTAACAGGATACGGCTGAGTGCGACCTGAAAGGGGGTAGAGGCGGGGGGGGTTGCTGTGGACGCAGGTTCAAAGTACATTATTACCGCATTCTCTCTTAACCTATATTGTACTTATGTCATCGTATCCACCAATCGTTTTACGAGGTTTATTGCAAATCCCTCCGCGTCTTTACCACGTGATCTCAACGCGCGTGCTTACACTATAAAAAAGAGTATATAAAAGATGTAAGAAAAAATAATATTTCACAACATGAATTTACAGATAGAAGGATTATACTAGAAGAAAAATTGGAGAAACACCTAGGATGCCTGAAACTGACAGCGGCTCTATAAAAGTCATGGAAGAATCGTAAGTTTTTTTTTTTTTTTTTTTTTTTTTATAAATGTCATAATATAGCTATCAAAATATATTACTTTAAAATTAATACATCTAATCTAATAGATAATATAATATTAAAAAAAACTAGTTTTCTAAACCTCTTTTCATTTTATAATATTAAAATATAGTGGGCATAAATGTGTATTTTAAGAAATGTATCACAAGAACTAGATGGAATGATCGTTCAAACTAATTGCAATCGAATTTAAGTGGCTTCAAACGATCCTGTTTTATTCCATTAAAATTTACATAAATAAATTGTTTTCCATGAAATAAATTTTTTAATCGGCCAACTAACAACAAATGACTGTCCAAAGAGCAGTATTTTTTAAGAGAATTTCGTTCTGACACATTTGCCCTGTAACTGATAAGATTGTTTGGCGTGAACTTTGGGGGAAACTCCTTTAAACCAGCTTAACAACGACCTAGATTCTCAACCAATAGAAGTAGCAGAATTAAATGTGGTCATGAATAGGTTACAATGACAACTTGCTATCCTATAATATGACCAAGCCGGTCTCGTTTACTTCTGCGATTTCTAAACTAATTTTAACCTAAATGAATTTAGGAATTAAATTTCAATCCGTTAATCTAATTTTACATAGACTAGATCTAGTTTAGATATAGATCTAAATGATTCTCGCTCGTTTTAAATATCGAGCTAACTGAACGCGCGGGTCTAAATTTAGAAACTGTCGCGTTTAACGTGGGAGGTGAACAGCTGTTCAAAGCGCGGGGTTAGTCGTGGACCTTAACAGAAGAATAAAAAAGCCGATCACCAAACTTCGTATCTTTTCTGTTCACGTATTAAAAAAGGAAAGTAAAAATGATTTTCCTTTTGAGAGTTGCAAGGTAAGTTTTTTTTTAGTCCTACAAATGTAAAAAGAAACATTAAAAATATATATATATAATCAACATTTTCGTTATAACCACGTCATTAATGGCCTAGATCAGAATGTCAATAGCGTGGGACTTTAAAAGTAATATAAGTTAACCAATACGAAGCACTGGAAGCTGCCACACCTACCGGCGACTGTTGAATACCGACGCAATAGTCTAGATGTAGATCTAGATTTAGATTCTATAAAGAATCGATTGTATTCTTAATAGTGTAGGGATTTAATGATTTTATTTAGACTATCTATGGTTGTATGAATGATTTACAAGTCTATAGACTACTATAGAAATTAGAGCGCTGCATAGTAATTTACAAGCTCATTTTTAACTATTTTAATAGACGACTAATTAAATAGATCTAGAAATGTCTAGATCTAGATTCTATATTTTTCTAGACTATATTCATCGCTTAACACTACTGTACTATATGTATCATCAATAAAAAACACTTTTTAACAAAAAATGTAATACAATGTAGGCCTAGGATAAGAGTTGGGAAGTGGGCCCGATTGTAATCCATTCTTGTATTTATGATTTTAATAATTTTATGGCACTAAAATACTATATAATAAAGGTATAGATTATAGATAGACAATAAAATTGTAACTTAGGGTTATTATCATTAATTAAAACATATTAATTAAATATTTTAACTTTAGCCATTTCTGTATATTCACACCTTTCGGCGTTATCCATTTCGTTTTATTGCCGCTTAAGCTCCCTTACACACAACCGACACCCATCGATTCAGCCAGAAATGCTGCTTTAGCATTTATTTCGTACGATAGCCGATTCGATCTATCTAGGTCTACGTGGTTAAATAAAAAAAAAATGTGCTACGTAGCACACGCATAAGGCAAATGATATAAGATATTATACTGGCTATAGATTTTAACGTATTTTACGAAATAATCACAAAGGGAAACAACTTTTGTATTTTGCAGACGTATTCCCGCAAGGCTTTTGAAAAATGAAAGGCCAAATTTTATCACAGCTCCACTGTCGACCACACCAGCACTGTTCGACCACACAAGGGTCATCTACGGCGACTTCAATGCCCTGCCCAACAAAGTGCGTCACTACGTTGAGGAAAATGTTCGCCTGTGCAAACCAGACACAATTCACATCTGTGATGGCTCAGAGCGTGAGAATGAACTGCTGACGTATATTTTACAGAAAGATGGGATCATTAAAAAATTACCCAAATATAACAATTGGTCAGTACTATATATATATGTTAAATATTAAAACAGTTTTTTTTTTTCAAATTAAAGGCAACACAATTATCAAATAATTGTCAATATGTAATTTGTATGATTACCTCCCTTTTCTATTTACTATTTCTAAGTTTAGAGTTAAAAAATTAGTCTAATCCAATATTGTAAGTGATAATGCTTTCTTAGCTTAGGTATGACATAGCTCTAGACTTACTGAACTGAGAAAATTGAAGAGCAAAAATGTGTATATTTATAATTTATCTGAATTCCTGATTTAATCGAATTTTTATTTTACAGTTGGTTGGCAAAAACAGACCCAGCAGACGTAGCCCGTGTTGAAAGACTGACCTACATCTCCTCAGATTTGCAGAGGGACACAGTACCCATGCCTAAATATGGAGCCAAAAGTCAGCTTGGTAATTGGATGTCCCCTGATGACATGGACAATGAGTTGAACATGAGATTCCCTGATTGTATGAAAGGTAATGCAAGAGAATTGTACAGAACTAGGCTACAGTAAAAGTGAAAACATTTTTTTTTTTTTTGCTTTGAGTTCTACTTAATTCTACTATATCTTGTTTATTTTCTTTAGGGAGGACAATGTTCATTATTCCATTCAGCATGGGACCTCTTGGGTCTCCGATGTCCAAGATTGGCATCCAGCTCACAGACTCTGCCTATGTGGTGGCCAGTATGAGAATAATGACTAGAATGGGTACAAATATTCTTCAGGCTCTCAAAGATGACAACTTTGTCAAATGTCTTCATTCAGTTGGTCGACCTCTCCCTCTTACCTGTGAGTAGTCTAGTGGTTTGTTTTTTTTCAAGAAAATTAAATAGTACTATTGCACTAAACAAAGCATAAAAGAATTATCAAATAAATACTCATAAAAGAATTATCAAATAAATACTCATAAAGATACACAGACACGAGCAACAAGTTTATTTCATGAGATAGAATTAAAAACAACTTTTCTTTCAATTATCTTTCAAGCATGGAATGAGTTCTTTGTTCTCATTTTACATGTTGGAGGGTTCAGATCAGTAATCCTATATTCGAGATGAACTGCACAGTGGTTTTCAGATCAGGCAGTTCTCCATATAGTTTTTGTTCTATAGGAAGGTTTAGGGGCCAGAGTCTTGTTCGGGCCATTTGATATAGTATGCAGCTTTGAAGGACATGGTGAGAATACTCTGGTGATGCTCCACAAGGGCAGGTCTCGCTCGACTTGAGTTAATTGAATCAAAATGTAAAATCTATGGCTTCTCTAAATTCAAATCTCTGATAAATATGAACCTGAACAACCTCATTAACACATGCACATAACCTATAACCTTTTTTTTAAATAAGTTTGTTTAATGTTAACTTAGAGTCATATTTTTTAAAAATGTTCAATTTCATATTAAATATAAATATGCCTACAAGTTAATTACACCAAAAATTAAATAATCTATTAATTGTCCACAGCACCTCTACACAATAATTGGCCATGCTATCCCAAAATGACTTTGGTTGCTCATTTACCAGAAAGAAATGAAATCTGTTCCTTTGGAAGTGGCTATGGAGGAAATTCTTTGCTAGGCAAAAAGTGCTTTGCCCTTCGTATTGGCTCAATTCTCGGTCATAGAGAAGGATGGTTAGCCGAACACATGCTGGTAAATTTAAACTCCATTGTATATCTAAATAAATTTCTAAAATACTTTTCCTGCTCTTCATGAATACATTTTGTATAATTCATACCAGACTCACTCATAATATATAGTTTTTGCTTACATGCGTAATCATCAGTGACATTTATTTTTCTTTCAGATTTTAGGAATTGAAAATAAAACCACAGGAGTAAAAAAATACATTGCAGCAGCTTTCCCAAGTGCATGTGGCAAAACAAATTTGGCCATGATGACCCCAACCCTCAGCAATTACAAAATCACGTGTGTTGGAGATGACATTGCCTGGATGCGCTTTGATGACAAGGGAAGACTTAGAGCTATTAACCCTGAAGCTGGTTTCTTTGGTGTTGCTCCAGGTTTGTGAATTGTTTTCAACTAATCTATTTGTCCTGTCTTAAAAAATGGTTCTAACAAATTACTTTTTATAATTATCAATATGAGATTTAGACTATTATTTTTTTATAAATCCTCAGGCTTTTTAAAATTAATTGAAGACTCAAAATTACCTTTTTTTTTTGCATTTTAAATATGTCTTCAATTATTTATACTTTTCCCATTGGGATCATAATGATTCTCTAAAATTAAATTATTTAAAAATTTAGTCTTCAGAAGTTTTGCATTTTGCAGCTACCTGTTATTGTAATTAAAATGCAATGATACAAAGTTTTCAAAATAAATATGATTTATTTTGTTTCTTCAGGAACATCTATGAAAACAAATCCTATTGCTATGCAGACTATTAAAGCCAACACAATCTTCACAAATGTAGCAGAGACCAGTGATGGTGGAGTATTCTGGGAAGGATTAGAGAAAGAGATTGAACAAGGTGTGAAAATCAAATCCTGGCTCGGTGATGAAGACTGGAAGAAAGAAGAATCTGACCGACCCGCTGCTCATGCTAATTCAAGGTAATTTATTAAAGTAACCTTTTTTTTCAAATCATAAGTTGTTCTCATCATGAGTAAGATGTTTTTGAAGACAGTTGTAAATTGTTTGGTTGTTGAAGGTTTGAGTCTTGGTAAAAGTGAAGGCTGGCATTTTTTTAAATTTTTTTTTTAGGAAATTTCTAAGTACATTTTATGTAAAAGTTTTGCTTTCCATACTATCAGGTTCAAAACAAATTCAATTTATTAAGACTATGTTGTTAGTCATTCGACATTGTAATGTATTTCAGGAATTTTTTATTTTTTTTTTATAATGGGCTTATAAATCCATAAGTGAACTTTAATAAGCAGTTGGTCACTGTGCTAGGCACAACACCTTTAAGGGTTGATTATCATTTACACGTAGTCCTTTGTCTCTTGATAGGAATGGAAACATTTTTGTTTTTTAGTATTAGATGGTCAACATGACAATGTATGCATGCTAAATTTGTTCCAGGTTCTGTACTCCCGCTGAACAGTGTCCTATCATGGATCCTGCATGGGAAGACCCTCAAGGTGTTCCTATCGATGCCATTATTTTTGGTGGCCGTCGCCCCACTGGTGTACCTCTGGTCTATGAATCTTTTAACTGGCAGCATGGTGTGTTTATTGGTGCTTCTATGCGGTCTGAGTCGACCGCCGCAGCTGAACATGTTGGTAGGTTTGAACATTTTATATTTTTTTTTAAATTTAAAAATTTGGTAATGTAGTTGATGGGCAGTTAAAACACTTTACTGTCAAGCTTTGAGAACTAGGATTGTAGGTGGGACTCAAAGACGCTTTGAGGTTTAACTCACTGTAGGGATTACATAAGGCAAATGAGGATTGTTCAAGCAACATTATACTACTCTTTCATATAATTTATAATTTAATTTATGAACTATTATTATAGGCATTTAGATCTCAAACGTAAATGTGCTCTTTAAATTTTTTTCTAAAGTGCAGGTATAAATAATTTGAATTATTGTTTCTTTTCAGCTAAGCAAATTATGCATGATCCCTTTGCCATGCGCCCATTCTTTGGCTACAACTTTGGAGATTATTTGAAACACTGGCTCAGTTTTGGGCAGAAAGATGGACTAGTTCTCCCCAAGATCTTTCACGTCAATTGGTTCCGCAAGGGTGGCCCTAACAACAGTTTCCTTTGGCCAGGTTTCGGGGAGAATGCCAGAGTGTTAGACTGGATCGTTCGCAGATGCAACAATGAAGACATTGCCAAGAAAACTGCCATTGGCTATGTGCCAAAATTCGACTCTCTCAATCTTGAAGGCCTTGAGGAGCCAGTCGATCTTGATGCCCTTTTCAGTTTGCCCAGAGAGTTCTGGGAGAATGAGGTGAATGCCATTTACAAGTATTTTGATGAGCAGGTCAATGATGATCTCCCCAAAGAAATAATCGGAGAACTGAAAAATCTGGAGCAAAGAATCCATACTGAATTATAGAAAAAAAGAAAAGCTGTTGATTTTGTTTTGTTGCTGGATTTGTCAGAGAACTGAGATTATCCTGTGTTATATATATATTGAAAAAAATATATTTGATAATAAATAGCTTTGTATATCATGTACATTATATTTTGTAAGCATTCCCTTCAGTCATGGTAAAACAAATCTTGTTTTATATTATGACTGGCTAAGAAAACAGTGTGCAAGTATAAATTTCTATCATATATACACACGCTTAAAATCTTGTTAAAAAAAAACAAATGATATTCCATTTTATTTTCATTTAGTTCATTATAAATTTTTATTCTGTATGCATTTTTTTTTTTTTTTTATATCTAGTAAACACCTTTTAAAAAATAAATTTTAATGAAAATCTACTGGGTGAACTCTGACCCCATGTTTCATTGAAATCATGTATATGGATCTGATAAATCATTCAAATATGCCTTGTCCACTTTTATTTAGAACTATTAATGTTCCTAACACTAAATGGCTTATGTTTAACCATCCAGGGCTTTCATTGCTATGTATTTGTCGTTTTATTTTCTAGGTAAATATAGACCTACATATATTTTCTTTTTTTTTATTCTTTTAAAATGTTTTTCACTTGAATAGCAGTTATTTTTTTTTCCATTGCATAAGTCTAGTGCCAAATAGAATATGTGTGTGTGTGTGGGGGGGGGGGGGGTTTAGCCACTAATGATGTGTTAGTATTTTCTGTGGAATCAGTGTTATGTTTGGGTCTGTATATAAGTTTATCAGAGCAGGGAGTGTTCATTGAATAGTTGAATTTTTCTATTCTGCTTGGATTGAATAAGAATCTTAGCTATGAGTGAAATTTTTTTCATAATGAAAATTTGACAATGATTGTACATATGATTAAAGTGTTTGTTTCTGACCATCTACATTGTGCCTGTACAGTAAATTGGATCATATATGATCATTTCATTTCCCTTGCCCCCCCCTTTTTTTTACCCATATGAATATCATAATGATCCGGTGATATATCCTTTATAATGTACATATGTTCCTGTTTTATTGCAATTTACAATGTAAATAGTGTTGATTGTTGAACTTGTGTAATACTTTGCAAACATAAACTTTTGTTTACGGTTTGCTGTATGGGGATCTACTTGTCAAGTTTAAAAACCCTGTACATATACATACAAATGTTAATAAAATACAAGAGATGAATGTTTTTATGTTGTTTTTTTTTAGTCATTTTTTTTTATCCCCCCAATTTTTTTTGCATTCTATTTATCATCCTAGAAATAAACCGAGCGAATCATAATACAACGTTGTTGTTAAGGTTACACTGGGTTCAATTTCAAATGTTTTGTCAAATGTTTGACATGTTTTGGATGTTCCTTCAGAGTTGAAGATAAATTCACTTCCTAGTCCAAATCTCCCACAGGACGGCGGTGGATAGGAATGGGCAGGGTTTGAACCCGGGACCATCATTAAATCCAAATGACAATCCAGTGCGCAAACTGCATGAGCAGGCAGCCATCCATTATGTAGGCAATCTAACGTCAATGATGTAAGGATGTATAATACCTGTACGATATAACTTACTAGAATTAAGAAACTTCTGTTAAGACACACATAGATAAAACTTTATCACCAAATACTTTAAGATAATACTTTTAACTACACCACGAGTGTATAGAGATGTAGTGGCTGAGTGGTAAAGCGCTTTTGCTTCCGAACAGAGGTCCTGGGTTCGATTCCTGGTGAAGACTGGGATTTTTAATTTTGGGATATTTGGGCGCCTCTGAGTCCACCCAGCTGTAATGGGTACCTGACATTGTGTGGGAAAAGTAAAAGTGGTTGGTCATTGTGCTGGCCACATGACACGCCCTCGTTAACTGTAGGCAACAGAAACAGATGACCTTTAGATCATCTGCCCTGTAGACCCAAGGACTGAAAGGGGAACTTTACTTTTCTTTACACGAGTATAGGCATAAATCCAAAGTGAAATATTATACAATTTACAATAGATGAAATATCCACTCATACTTTGCTTACTAAAAAGAATTCTACAGGCATAAAGATAATGCACCAAACAATGGCCTCTGACTGACCATCTTTAGCTATGTATAAAACTTGACCGTTTGTCTCAAGGTCCTGAGCTACACTAATTCAATCTTGATCTGTACCCAAGATTCAATAGAGTTTGCTACTACTCACGACTATTGCATATCACAATTCACCCCAATGACGGTGATTCTAGGGATTTCTAATTCTCACAACTATGATATGACAAAGCATTGTCTTCGAGTGCAGTATGTCATGTGACAACGCTAACCCAGTTGTGACCTAAATATTTAGACACATTTAGTACAGACAAAAACTGTTTCATCTTCTGCACCCATATACTGCAAAGTCTTTTCTTTCGTGAGAGCTCTCCAGCTGTTTTTCTCGAGTATTTATTAAAACCGGGGCCTATAGCATTATTACATCACAAAATATACTGATTTCATCAAATACACCAGTAACCTCATTATTTTAGTAGTTTTAAATTAATGGAAGCTTAAAAATGTATGAGCATTTCAAAGGGAGATCACAATAATAAACAAGGTGAATATAATATTCATTCACTTCGTCTCTAGTGCCTCCAATTATTTATGGCCGGCTCTATTGCCATAATGCAAACAAACAAAGCATTAGGGTTTATTTCCAAAAATTTCTATAAATCAAATAAATAATAAATAATATTATTTAACCTTGGTTAGGCCAATAATAGAATATGCATCCTCTGTTTGGGACCCCTCAACTCAAGAAAACATTAAGAAACTGGGACAGACATAAAATAGAGCAGTGAGATTCATAACAAACAAATCATCACATTTGACTTAGAGTAACACCTTTAGTAAAATCTCTAAATTTAGAAAGCCTCCACGACAGAAGACGCAAAAGTAAAGTAGTAATTATACATAAAAAAAAACAACCATAATCTTCAAATACAAAATTTAATAAAATACTCAGAAAGACACAAAGATAAAGGCACACTCCTCATTCCATATGCTAGGACAAATTTGTACAAATACTCCTTCTTCTTTAGTGCTATTAGAGCATGGAATGGGTTGCCTGAGCTAGCCAGGAAAACCAGTGACTTGGCAGAATTTAAGTCATTGGTTAATATGTATAACGCGTAGGACATAATCATCTTGTTTTTTGAAGTAACGTCTGTATTATATGAGATAAGATTCTAATTATTGGGTTGTAAATAGACTACGATAAAGTTGACAAAAACAGGCTAAACAAAGTGTCCCAATGATAAATGTCTCGCTTTATCTAAAGTGGCTACCCAGATAGGAGAAGGGAAAACTCTGAATTGAAACCTCTGTTTCTTTGTATCTACAAGTATACCCAAACATAGGAATGGCTTCTGGAATCAACCCTGAGGAAAAATCAAGAACCCGCGGCAATTGAAATTTCAGCAGAGCTCATAAGTGCTACATCCTGGCGTAGCCTGCAACGCAGCTGCTCCCAAACTGTATCGGTACTTGCTGTTCCTTTGGACACATCAGCTGCGTTGCGAGAGGGTGGCTAAATGTTGTGTGGGCTACACCGTTCATACCAGAACTAATGCCCAGGCATTCATCTCATTTCTATGAGATGACCCATAGCCGATTCTTGCATAGTCTGAAATAGATCCATATTCAAAAGACATACATGTCTTGCATAGCCTGAAATAGATCTATATTCAAAAGACATACATGTCTTGCATAGCCTGAAATAGATCTATATTCAAAAGACATACATGTCTTGCATAGCCTGAAATAGATCTATATTCAAAAGACATACATGTCTTGCATAGCCTGAAATAGATCCATATTCAAAAGACATACATGTCTTGCATAGCCTGAAATAGATCCATATTCAAAAGACATACATGTCTTGCATAGCCTGAAATAGATCCATATTCAAAAGACATACATGTCTTGCATAGCCTGAAATAGATCCATATTCAAAAGACATACATGTCTTGCATAGCCTGAAATAGATCCATATTCAAAAGACATACATGTCTTGCATAGCCTGAAATAGATCTATAT